TGATATTAGGAACTAAAAATCAGGCATTGGAACCTACCAAAGAGAATGCATCCAATATTCATACAAGGACATAAAATGGTAAATATATGCAGCTTACAAAAGCGACAGAAATGTAATTAAAATCCTAAGACCTTGGAAACTGATATGGAATTTAATAAGATGGATAAAAACCAAGATGTGTGGCGAGGAACGCGTGCTGGGAAAAGCGGCCATGCCGCACCGTGAGGCGCTGAACGGGCGCCACAGGGAAGATTACACAACATCCCAGAGGGCTGGCGAGGGCTGGAGGCACAGCTGAATCCTGGTGGGCGGCGAGAGCCCGCACAGAGCCGATACCTCGGCATGCACAGGCAGTGCCCTGGCCGGTGGCACGGACCTGGCGGGGTCCGGCAGACGGGGGAACCCCACACACTGCCCGTGCCGCGGCAGCAGCCGGTGCCTGGCCAGGTGCAATGCTGGATTGTGCAATTCAGCCTGGAGTAGAGGCAAGCACAGCCACGGTGCCCACTCAGGACTGCTGTGCCGAGCTGAGTCGCTCTCCGGCCGCCCAGGGCTGCATCGCCGGGCTAGGCAACAGCACGCCGAGCATGCCGCCCCCTCTGTGCGGCCAGAACTTGCAGCAGCCACTCTGGCACTGCCCCACGCTGCCATGTTAGCACCCCCGTGACCCCACGCACACCAGGACTGCCTCCTCTTGAGGCCAGGTGGCCTGGCCCCAAAGATAATTCCCAACTCCATGGACCATGGCCGTGCCTCCCTTGGGGTAACGTACCTACACCCCCAATCCAGCCTACATCGGCGGGCAGAGTCAGCCCCCAAGCCAGCATCACTGCAAGTGTGGCCTTGCCCTTGGCCCTGCCTTCATGGAGGAATCTGGGAATTACATAAACAGGAGCTCCTGCAGTTGTCATACCTAGAAGTGGGACTACACTTCCCTCAGCACCACCCCTGCTGGAGTTAAAGCATTCCAGAGACACAAGGCATCATCATCCCCCTGCAGAACACCATGAGAGTACGGCTGTTGTGTTGTGTTATTTGGTTCATTCCTGATTTCTCCCCGGTTTGTAGTTGCACCCTAAGTTACCTTCCATTCCCCAATGTCAATCCTATCCCGGCTCCACCCATTCCACTGGAAACTCACTTGTTTATCCTCAAATACCCACCCCAGTGCCTTGTCTGTCACTTGGTTCTCCGCTCCCTTCTCTAGAAGCTTCCATGAAGGGCATTGAGTGATTGGTCAAGGATCAGGGATGACTCCCACTAAGGTTCATGAAAGGTTGTTCTAGTTGTTGATTGTCTCCCAGTTTCCTCTCCCTTGATCCTCGATTGGTGGGTAGTTAAACCCCTCCTTTGGTACCAGCCCTGAATAAAAGATACTGATCCTCTTGTCTCGGGGCTTTTTGGAGTTGTAACCCCTGAGGCTGGGGGCTCTTCATGGCTCCTAATAAAGCTTTGCACTAATTACCCTCCAAATTCCTTCTCCCTTCCTTCACCTGTGCTCTCTTAGCCGCCCCTGTGCACCCCGAGCGCGGAGCAGTGTCCCCTGCAGTCTGCAGCGTGGCACCTGGCAGGGCAGCACCGCGTGGCTGCTTGGCACACGCTGTGACACACCACAGATGCTTTGCTGCCAACAGCCTTCCCCAACTCTGCCACTGCCACAGCCTCTCGGAGCCTTTCTACGTTTCCAAACGCCAATTGTAAGTTTCCAGAGCGTGGGAAGAGCCCTTGCAGGGGGCCCACCAAGCAAAGGGCGGAGGGAAAATCATGCAGGAGTGTTATACCGTGGGACTGTAGCAAATAAACCTGCCCAAAAAATGGTGCTGACCACATGGCACACCATCACTCAGTGGCCAAGAGCAGGACACCTTCTCACCAAGCCCAGTGGGAAACCAGCAGCTCCTGAGTGTGGGCACTGAAGAGGCAAACGAAAAAATTTACCAGCACCAGCCAAAGCAACACCAACACACCAGCTACCCCACATAGCGCAACAGAGCCCCACAGCCACCCTGCCAACCCCTGCTTCAACTCTACCAAGGTTCTCACACTCCACAGGAGACACCTCCTGCAGCCAGTGAGGACATGGTGATGGCAATGGCTGCTTCAGCTCCTGTGTTCCAGCCCTTCTACATCAATGTTGTGGATGAGGAAGATTACATGGGTTTCCTTGATATGGATCATGCAGATAAGCTACTGAAGGAGTATCAGCAGAGAGAGTGCCTTGATTTGGAGCAGATGATGTCAGAAAGGTGAGAACAGGTCTGCAGTTCATGGTGAAACTGAAGGAATTGTGTGCTTTCCTGTATGCCAGCTGAGAATCTCAATGGCACTCTCACTAAACCTGACTGGTGACAATTGTCTGGAAGCTCCTTTAGGAACCACTGGGGTGCTGTGCAGTGCACCCAGTGCTGCCAAAGCTGCAGTTACTCCAAGGTGCTTTTAGCTCAGCTGTTTCTCAGGGACTGAGCAGTGTTCATGGGCTCCAGGAGGTGCAGTGGGTGGTTAATCTCTGAAACAAGATCTGTGCCACGTGGCAGGACTTTAGATCGTGACATTCCATGCTTTTTCCTTTACAGGCCTAAAGATTTCCTTCCATTTCAGTTGCATTTTTAGGAGTTTATTTTTTGGGGGATTTTAGCTAGAGAGATGGGTGATGGAAAGACACCTGAAGGTTTAGTAAAGTTTGCCTGAAAAACACTTGTTGAGCATGGTTCCTGTAAATATTTTCTTAGTAAAATATTTAACTAAGGGGTTACAGTGAGGACTTTTGGCGTCTTCTGCCTGGACTGGGGACAGCATTGGATTTGTTTGTAGCTAAAGCTGCTGTCAGCTGCAGAATCTGCATAGAAGACTTTTCAGCAGTGCGGGTCCTGTTGATTTTTGTTGACAATAACAAAACTGTAGAACTTTAATTATGCTTGATTCAAAATTGAAAATAACAACATCATAATTTAAGAAGCACAAATATGTTTAGGACGTTATTAGAGGAAGAGGGTTTTACTGGAATACAGCAGATATCTGGTGGATTTGAGTCCCGTGTGGAAGTTAGCAATTGTAAGTCATCAGCAACCAAAGAACTAGAAGCAAAATGTTCACTTGCAACCTCAAACAGGAATTTTCTCTTAACAGGTACAACTTTTTCAGTGTATTTACTATAATTTAAGGTGAGTTTACAATCCTCATTGTTTTCTCAGCAGCTGAGACTCACGGCATTGCCCATCTGGCAGGGCACAGTGAGCACTGGCCGTGCCCTCAGCCTCAGGAGTTGCACCCAGCACAGCCTGGCAGGGCGGGCAGGGCCCTGGGGCAGGGCTCAGGAGCCACCACAAACCCAGCACAGGCTGCAGACACAGCCTGCACTGCTTGGGGTCACCTGCAGTGCCTGCCTCCAGTTTGCCCTGCGAGCAGCCAGGTTAAAGCTGGCTGGGGTTTATCTCCAGGCACTGTAAATCACACATGTGCACATACACAGGGGAAGATTTGGAGTAAAGTGCACAAGGAGCATTTGGAGGAAAGTGCACAAGCACAGCCACAGCACTCAGCACTAACAGGAGCATGAGAGATGTGCTGAGCTAATTTGAAGACTGTGGCTCTTGTAATCCACTGAGCTGTAAAGAGAGGTGTGAGCAGGACTGGATCTGGAGAAATGGAGCCCCTCTCCTGTGGAGACAGGCTGAGAGAGCTGGGCTGTTCAGCTGGACAGGAGAAGGCTCTGGGCACACCTCAGAGCCCCTTGCAGGAGCTCCAGGCAGCCTCCAGGGAAAATGGAGAGGGGCACTGGCCAAGGGCATGTAGCAACAGGACAAGGGGGAATGGAATGGCTTCAAACCCACTGAGGTAGGTTTAAATCAGATGCACGGAAGAGATTTCCCCCTCTGAAGGTGCTGAGGATCTGGCACCCAGAGCAGCTGTGGCTGCCCCATCCCTGGCAGTGCCCAAGGCCAGCTTGGACAGGAAGGTGTCCCTGCCCATGGCACAGGTGGCATAAGTAGAATTTGGAGGTTTCTTCCAATCCAAACCATTTTGTCATCACAGCAGCTTGTGAAATACATTAGATTCTTTGAAATGCAATTTCTGACAACTGAGAATTCACATGATCGGAAATTGCAAAACTGCCTGTCTTGGGCAAGAGGTATTGAGTCAGAATTTAAAAAAAAAACAAAACAGAAAAAGGCAGAGCCTAATACCTGCATAAAACCAACACAAGCTCTAAGTTAATGCGAGCACAAAATCTCCACTCAGATATTCTGTTCTCTCCTTTTCATATCATCCTCCAATTATGGGTGTGCAATGTATTGAAATAAGTCCTCTGGATTTTCCAGAGGCATTAGATAGAGTCACCACCCAAATACCACACTTTAATATTGCTCCCACTTGACAAAAGCTAATCATTCATCTCTTTCTGCTTGTGACTGCATTGCAACACAGGTCCAAACATCCCTGAACACACAGAAATGAGTCACAGGTGCCACATGCATCCTGCAGGAAAAAGCTGGGGGTCTTCTAGTACTGGTGCTTTTGTTCAGGAAAATGCTTCTCTGAGAATAGAAATAACTCCACTTTTACTTTGGTGAAAGTACACCTGCAGGGCTCTGGTTTGGTCCTGGCTAGGCTGTGTTTCCCACCCGCAGATCTCAGTCCCAAAGGCAGTGAATGGGAGCGAGCAGAGCCGAGGTGCCCCGCAGGTGTGTGCGGGGCAGGCTGAGCAAAGCCTCCCCCGGGGCCGCAGCCGGAGGTGCTGCAGCAGCAGGACAGCGCTCCCGGCAATGCCGGGCCATTTGCAAAGCGCTTGGAGGCCGCGGTGCCCGGGATTGCGGCACTGCCGTGGCAAAGGAGCGCTGGGGAGGCAGCAGGAGCCCCGCGGGCAGGAGGGCTCCCCGCTCCCGGGCCGGGCCCGGCAGTGCCGGCCTGGCTCGCAGCCCGAGCGCTGCCTCGCCTCAGCCGGGTTTGCCTTGCGTAAGGCGGCCCGGGCCCAGCCTATAAAGGCCCGGCCCGCGGGCTGGGGGCCAGTGGCACCATGGCAGCTGCGAGGGACACGGCGCGGCTGGCCTGGATCCTCTGCCTCGGGGCCGCGGCGCTGGTGGCCACAGGTAAACACCGGGGATACGGCCCGAGCAGCTGCAGGACAGAGGGCACCTGCAGCTGCCTCCGGGGCCAGCCGAGAGCCGGGCACAAAGCCTGGGCTGGGATGGGCACAAAGCCTGGGCTGGGATGGGCAAAACCCTGGACAGGGATGGGCACAAACCCTTGTCTGGGATTGGCACAAACCCTGGGCAGGGATGGGCACAAACCCTGGGCAGGGATGGGCACAACCCTGGGCTGTGATGGGCTCAAACCCTGGGCAGGGATGGGCACAAACCATGGGCAGGGATGGGCTCAAACCCTGGGCAGGGATGGGCACAAAGCCTGAGCTGATCTGGACACAATCCCTGGGCTGAGCCAGGTATAAACATTGAGCAGAGATGGGTACAGACCCCGGGCTGAGCAGGGCACACAAACTGAGCTGCAGTAGTAAAAATTTCATTACAGTTTTTAATCTGCTTTCACTCATTTGTTTTACTTGTCTTCTTTGCAAAATCCCTGTCCCAAAATCTTGCCTGCTGAGGCTGAGTAGCCAGAGTACCAGATATCTATTTGATGTTAGACCTTACACACAGATCTTAACATGGGTTTTTATCTAACAACCCAGGATAAACAAAGAAATATTAAGATCTCTATGCAACCCCCAATGCATGTAAGACAGGGCAAATTATATACCTGACGGAGATGGACATACAGGCCAATCAATATGAAGGCTGAGATATGTCAGCTCTAATGATTTAATAAAGATAAAAGTGAATGTGTGTAAATACATTGAAAATTAAATTTTAAAAATACAATTAAAATCTAATTGACTAAACGCTAGTAAAATTTAATTGAGTAAACACTAGTAATCAAATTAGTAAAATAAAAGAGTAAAATGTAATAGCACATTAAGACAGTGTACTATTAAAGCTGATGAGAGTTTGTGGAAGCTTTATGTACAAAAACTACTTGGCTAAGAGCACAAAAGGTGTACATTTAAGTAGCAAATCTAGCAATTACTTACAACCAGAGCAGTGATGTGATTCTGTGCTGCTGTCCCACAGAACAACCAGAAGCAGAGACCAAATACGGGAGAGTGCGAGGGTACCAATTCCACGTGGACACAGCTGAGAGGACTGTAAATGTCTTTTTGGGACTTCCTTTTGCTAAGCCTCCTGTTGGATCACTGAGGTTTTCTGAACCCCAGCCACCTGAGCCATGGGAAGGTGTCAGAGATGCCACTTCCTATCCACCAATGTAAGGCCATGACCAAACCACTGACCCTGTCATGATGTTAAACTCTGGGCACTTCCAGGACTCTGATGTGCTCACAGGGCCATCCATGAAGACAAATTCCTTGGTCCCCCCTCGTTGCACCTGCAGCTGTCCCAGTGGATGCATTTCTAAAGACACTCTGGGAGCTGCTCTCTGTGCCAGCAGCTGCTCTCTGACAGGCATCAGAGAGAGCTGAGATGGAGCAGCACTTACAGACAATGCTCTGCCTCAGGAGCACTTGGCCAGCCCTTACCAATCACTGGAAACTCTTGGAGCAGGGACAGAAAGGAGCTGAGGAAATGTTGGAACACAACGTTAGGGGGAAACTGCTGAGTCAAGTGCTTAAAAGGGCACATAGGAAATGCACAGCAATTCCAGTCTACCTTGTAAATGTCTCACTCCCTTGAGTTGTCCTACTTCCGTTATTTAGCATCTCAAGACTAATACCTTCCATTGCAAAGTAAAAAGCTATTGGAAACTTCAAATAATTCATTTAGATTTGCATATGTATTTCACATGCCAATCTAAAAGTGTGCTGCAGATCAGTTTCTGCTTGGCACTTTGTTGTGGAAGTACAAAAAAGCTTCACAGCTTTCAGGATTTAGTGAATTCTCTTGCCTGTTACTTTTGCATTTATTCAGGTGTCTACAGGACCCAGTACAAGGACAGAATTTTTCAGACTTGATTACCAACAGAAAAGAGAAAGTTGCTCTGCAAGTGTCTGAGGATTGCTTGTACCTAAATGTCTACACACCTGTTTCTACCGGAGAAAAGCAGAAGCTGCCTGTAAGCAAAATCCTTATAACACCTTCAGCAAAATTATCTGACAGGAAAACTTCAACCTCTGCCATGAGCAGACATGCAGGGGCACTTTTGTAGTGATGAACAACTTACATGCTTTGTCCCAGCAAATATTAGCTGGAATTAAAGAGGCACAAAATCCTATTTTACAAGTAAAATTGTATTGCCATTTAGCTAAGCAGTGCTTGATTTAATCCAAAGGATCATTCCAAAGTCACAGGGCACTGACACAGTGTAAACATTTAACAAAAGCAGTGCCATTTTGTAGCCCTGCAGGCCTCAGATTTGAATGGTTTCTGCAATTTGTGAAATGTATTCTGAAAGAATAGGAGTGAAATAGCACAAAATGTTGTATCATGGGCTATATTTTTCTCACTGGGGGCTCTTACCTGAGCTGGGTTGATCCTCTATTTCTTTTTCCAGGTCCTAGTATGGATCCATGGAGGTGGATTAGTTTTTGGAGCAGCTTCATCATATGATGGCTCAGTATTTGCAGCATTTGACAACGTGGTGGTTGTAACAATTCAGTACAGACTCGGTATTGCTGGATATTTTAGGTAAGTTGGTTGATGTCAGTTTTTCCCAAGTGATTTCCAAAAGGATGTGTGCAAAGCCTTTGTAAAGAGAAGTGCAGAAGACTTGCTTATGCAAAGAAACATTTCTGAACTGCACCTGCAGCACTGGGGATGATTTCCAGTGCCAAGGCAGCTTCCAGGTCTGTTCTTGTGGGGCTGCTGCTCCAATGTCAGGGGTGCCCGAGCCATCCATTTGTCAGTCTTGGAGGGAAGTTCTGTGTAGAGAATGGCAGATGATTTCTCACACCACAGACTGTGTTTTCCTCTGCCTCTTGGCTTGCATTGAGCACTTGAACAAATCTGTTCTGTCCCTGCAGCACTGGTGATGAGCATGCCCGAGGTAACTGGGGATATTTAGACCAAGTGGCGGCTCTTCGCTGGATTCAGGAAAATATCATGCATTTTGGAGGAGATCCAGGATCTGTCACTATCTTTGGAGAATCTGCAGGAGGAATCAGTGTTTCTGCTCTTGTAAGTTCCCAGTAATCACGAATTGTAATTACTTGGGGGAAAACCCCTCCATCCATTTTCAGTATCTGCATGGGAAGTCAGCAAGAGGAAAGGGACAGGGTTACAGTGACACATCACCTGGGTCTTTGATAACACAACAAAGCAGAACAACACAGATTTTTAATGATAATAATTTGTCATTTTCATACTCAAATGTTGTGGTTAAGTAACAGAATGTTATTACTCATCTGTTGAATTAAACTCTCATTAGTTTTGGATGTTTTTTTCAATGTCAAAAACCCCTCAAAGTCTAATTTAATGAGAAAAGTCCTTTAGGAGGAGTTGTGCACTCTTGCCCAATTTCTGTTTGCTTTGACAGCCACATGTGCCAAGTGATTGAGGTGAATAGTTCTGGCAGCTGGTGCAGCCCTGCAGTTTGTGACCCTGTGATTGTGTAAAATCTTTACTCCAACACAGAGCACATTGGCCGTGACTCTCTCCTTCTCCAGTCGCTCCCACTTTGGTACAGCTCACACAGCCCAGCCAGGCTTCCTTGTACCTGGCATGCACATCCCTGCTTCCCGTGGCCAAAAGCTCTTTCCTGCCCTTCTGCAGCAGAGCCAGCCTGCCTTGGGCACATCCCATCTGTACCTGCCCTGCAGGGTGCTGCTGGGAGGCCCTGGGAGCAAAGGGCAGGGGAGGGAAAGGCCCTGAGCTCCCCATCCCTGCCAGCGCTGCCAAAGCACTTTGCACAGCTGGGCTGTGGCCAGAGGCTGCACAGGGACACTCTTAGCACATGGGCTTTCAAAATGCCCCCAATGGCCACTGCTGATACTGAAACCCAAAATCCCAGGGGAGAACACACTGCTTGTCATGCTTGTCCTTGCTTTCTCACAGGTCTTATCTCCCCTGGCCAAGGGCTTGTTCCACAAGGCCATTTCAGAGAGTGGCACTGCAGCCCTGGGCTTGTTCACTGACCAGCCTAACGAGGAAGCACAGGTGGGTACTTGTGGTAATTTTAATTCCTTTTTTCCAGATAGTTGTGCATATCTTAAACTGTTCAGTCCAAAATATTGAATCATGTGAATTCACATTTCTTGTGAATCAAAGCAGTCATTAAAGGCAGTATTTCTGTGTGCACATAGTACATGTTTAATGATGTGTTGCTTTTCAAACACCCAGATATACCCCCAATGAGTTAAAAATGAATTGTCAAGGAATATTGTAACATGTAGGGTCTTCAAAAAAATTGAACTCATACTTTTTGGCTGGAAAACAGTATCAGACTCTGAATACTCTTCTCTTCCCCTCCTGTTTGATGCCTGTAGTGTGCAAATAAACAAGACTTTATTCAGCTTTTTTTAAATTTGAGAACTACAGGCTTCCAGCCCTTTCTTTTCACTTCAACTGCAAGGAACAATTTCCAGAACCTGGAAGCTGGGACATCAAAGAGACAGCTGTCTCTAATGGCAGCTCTTGCTCCAGCCAAAACAGCATCACCAAGAGTGGTAGAATGTGCTCTCTGTTGCCATGCAGATGGTTTATTCTCTAACTCCTTTATGTCACCCAGCCTTCTCAGCCCAGCCTGTTATTTACCAGCATTGTCTCAGAATATTTCTGTATCAAGAAAACCTGGAGGCAGAGGTTTTCCCCTCCTGCCCAGCCCGTGGTGTGAAGGATTGTGAGGGCTTCCAGTGCCCTCCCTCAGGAGCTGGGACAAGCCAGGCTCCAGCATCCTTTGTGCAGGAGCTTTGGCTGCTCCTGCCGCACTCGGTGTCTCATAGAGCCAGACAGAGGAAATGTGTCCAAAACTGTTTGTTCTCACTGCTTGCAGAAAATTGCTGCTGTCTCTGGCTGTGAAAAATCCAGTTCAGCTGCAATGGTTGAATGCTTGAGAGGAAAAACTGAAGCAGAACTACTACAGATAACACTGAAAATGGTAGGTGAAATAATTCTTCTTGCAATTAAATGACACCTCAGACTTTTTCATCCGAAAAAATACTCTTTGTGGGATGTAAAATTAGGAGAACCTGAAGTGGATGTAAAATCTGACATTCTTGACTTTTTCAGGACATGACAGCACTGCAGATCTGCAATGACTCCTCACCTGAAAATTGCAAACAGGTTCCTGCCCTTCATTCTGCATTGCACTTGGAGCTACCTGTGGCTTGCTGTCATGCTCAACCAGGGCAAGGAAAAAAAAATGGCACAGATGATTCTGGAGAAGCTGAAAATCAAACCATCTATTCTGTCCTACTTAAAAGTTCTTATCACATTGCTTATGCACCTTTGAAACTTCAGTACAGATGTGGTTTTTCCCCACTGTTCCATACATCCATGGCCATAATTAACTAAGGAGAGATATAAATTCAATATAATGACTTCTGCTTCACAAACATTAGAAATATAATGTTAATCTTCACAGAATCTCCTGCCTAGTGCAGAAGAGCTGTCAGAGAAAATGTTAAGATGGCTTGGTTACCATTACGTTTTATATTTTCATTTGGTTTCACTTCGGAAGTGCAGTTAAAATCTGAACATTTTTAGGAAGTAAAACGAATGCACTAAAGAAGCTTTCTTTTTTCCCTTTCTGTTCAGGATATCTTTTTCATCAGTGCATGTGTAGATGGTGTATTTTTTCCAAAGAGTCCCATGGAATTACTCTCTGAAAAATCAATCAATGCTGTCCCATACATCATAGGAGTAAATAACTGTGAATATGGATATGTACTTCCTATGGTAAGAGATGTTAAAATGCTGATATTTAAGCATCATTTTGTAAATAGAGGCTGTTTTAGTAAGTATAATTATCTGTTTCACACAGATGATGAAATATCCTCCTTTTGTGGATGGTCTGGATAAAGATGTTGCACGTCAAATTTTACAGAGCAACTTAGCACTAATCATTAAGGTAAGAGACCAGTTTCAGAATAACCCAGTGCTGCTGCTTGGCTGGTCTGCCTGGTTTTACCCCTGGAGGGACACATTTCCCAGGGAAATGCCATTGTGCTGGAGAGCTCCCTGAATTGGGGCAGAAACAGGCACACAGGTGCTGCACTCCTGTTACCTCCAGTCACTGGAAATACTCTCTGCATTCCCAGCCTAAATGCCCCTCTTCTTCATAAGGAGTTCTGTGGGAATGCAGGAGTGATGCAGGTACATAAACAAGGTCGCTTGGACATTGTAGATACCCCCAGGTCATGCAAGACATGCAGAGTAGCAGCAGGTCTGGCAGGAGACCTATGGGACACAACCTCCTAAAGCAGTAGCTGGGCACTGGAAAGGAAAGCCCGAGATGTTTGGGGTGCACTGACACATTCCTTCAGGTTTCTCAAGGTTTTGCTTCCCTGTAATTTACAAATCTCTTGGCTTTGTGGTGCCTTTGTGCTCTCCTGAAGCTACTCCATAGAAAAGTACAGATTATGAGGTAAGAATTAAGGACCCTAGAAGCAGGGCCAGTACTTGCAAGGATCAATCAATGACACAAAGATTCACCATGAACTTGGAAATGTAGAGCCCAGGCTTGTTCTGAAAAGCAGAGATATGGTCATCGACAACAATCAATGGATTTGATGAAATGCAGCAGGATTTCTGTGCTCTTGTGAAGGTGTTTGCACAGAAGAGACAAGAGTCAGCATCACTGACTGCTGCTTATCTAAAGGTGGTTGATCCTTTGATCTTGCATCCCTCTTGTCCCCAAGATCACCTGTACGCACAGCTGTGTAACTCCACTCTGAGCTCTGAGCCACACTCTGACACAGCTGGGGATTTTCTCTGAAAGCTCTTGGTGAGGATTAGCCAGGGATGTGCAGAGGCCACACTCACCCACTGCTGTTGCTCCTTACAGTATTCATCATCATTATAATACTTTTCATTGCTGTTTCAGGGCCTTACATCTGAAGTTGTTGACAGAGTGTACAAGGAGTACATGGGGGATGCAGAAAGCCCTGCCCAGGTGCGAGATGGCCTCCTGGATGCATTGGGAGATGTCTACTTTGTCACCTCATCTGTGGAAGTGGCCAGATCCCACAGAGGTACCCAGCAGCTTCAGAACAGCTGTACAATTCTGTCTGGGGGTGGTGTGGACAGTGTGCTGCACTTTTCACTATCCAGAAAACTGGTAGTGGTTTTATTTAACCAAAACAGTGTTTCATGAAAGTTTATCATGTCTGGAGCAGTATTTTCAGCTCTCAAACCAGCACTTTTCTGTATCCTCTAGATGCTGGCAACCCAGTCTACTTTTATGAATTCCAACATCGGCCGAGTTCCGTGGAAGGTTTGGTACCAGAGTTTGTAAAAGCAGATCATGGAGCTGAAATTGCCTTTGTCTTTGGAAAGCCATTCTTAGCTGGTGATGTACCCATATTTCCTCCATCTTCCTTTTAGACCCTCATTACTTCTCACTTCAATTACCACAGGTCTTTAGAATAGAAGTTCTCTCTTATATGTATTATAAACACTATACTTATTATTAGCATACCATATATATCATAAGCATCATTATGAGCATAACCATCTTCTGTCTTCAGTAGCAGATACTTTGCATTACATCATTCATCTGCAGGTCTCTGCTAGAAAAACCTCCAACACCTCAGGGCAACCAGGAGAAGTGTTGCAATGATACAGCTGATACTCATTAGTTATTTTCTAATGTGGCCCTTTCATCTCTCCCTTTGCAGGAGGTGCTACAAAAGCAGAAAATGAACTTAGCAGAACTGTGATGAGATACTGGACCAACTTTGCTAAAAATGGGTGAGAATCACAGTGCTAATTACAGCTCAAGTTCAGTCTGTGCTACCCAGACCATACTTACCTGCCTGAAGCAGTACTTATGTGGTGCTTCCTGAAATTTGACAGAATTTAGGAGAAATATTGAAGCAATTTCTCTTCTTAATGGTCATTTCTAAAAAACCAGCAAAAATGAGGAAGAAAAACGTCTAAGGGCAGTTACTCCATCAGCAATGGAGTTTTAGATCTAAAAGGAATGGCAACTTTTACAGTTCTGCTGTTCCACTGATGACCATTTTCATAAAATACTGTCCATTTATTCAGGTACCAGAATCACATCAGCTGGGCTCACCTCTTAGTTTTCTGAAATGCTCTGAACCTGAGCAGTCTGACAGCAATGGATTGGCAAATGGAGAGCTAACTTTTCCTTCTGTTATTTCCAGAAATCCCAATGGAGAGGGCTTGGTCCATTGGCCTCAGTATGACCTGGAGGAAAAATACCTGGGAATAGACCTGGAGCAAAAGGCAGCAGAGAAACTGAAAGAACACAGAGTGGAGTTTTGGGCACAGCTCATGAAACAAAGTCAGACTGGAAAGAGAAAACACACAGATTTATAAGATCTGTGGAGGGCAGTTTGCTTTTAAAACCCAAAGGAACGTCAAAGAAAATGAGTTTGTCAGCATGCAGAGTAATAATCACCTTCTAACTCACTGTTGTGTAATCTGCTGTCCTAATCACAGTGAAGGGAGAGAAACAAGGGGCATTCAGAATGTTTGTCAGACTGAAAATCACTATTTAATGAAGCAACCAGGAAAAAAACCCCACAATCTGTCCAGCTCCAGACAGACCATGATACCTACTCAGTGCATATCAAAAGTGAATACTGAGGTGGGAATGGGAACATGAACTGAAATCTATAGGACATGATCAATACAGAATATACCATATTTGTCAGACGATTTTATATGCTTATTCCCTTCTTCTTTCAGAAGGGCATGGTCAGTTGTCCTTCCTAGAGACTCTTTCTGCTTTCTTGAACTGGAAATAGCTTGTAGGCAGCAGAGCATCCATCAAACTAAGTCTGTGAGGTGAGCTTGACATCTCACAAAAGAGGACAGAAAATCTCTACCTGTTCTATTGCTTTGTGAATTGTTCTAAATAAATGGTGCTTTGATTTTTTTGGAGCTTCCTTTTCTTTCACTTAACTGATGGAGGCTCATTCCGAGAGGCCAAGGCACACGCAAGAAGCCAGAAACGTGCCCAGGTTCTTTCTTCCACCCAAATGGTTTCAGGTATGAACCTTTGCAGGTGTCTGTGCAGGACCTGAGGCTTAAGGCTCTTCCACAGCCTCTTCTGGGCTGTGACTGTGTGCCCTTCACCCCTTCCTGGCAAATGCCCGGTGCAGGGGCTGCAGGAGGACGCAGTGCTGGCAGGACAGACGCCCAGAGAGGCAGAGGGGACAGCAAAGGCTGGTGGTGCTCCCTGCACGTTGTTGGCTCAGCAGCACCAGAGAGAAGATCTGCTGACATGCAGAGTGTGCACCCCCAGCCTCCCCCAGCTGGGGAAGGGCTCAGGGCACAGCGGGAGGGAAGTGGCTTTTTTGCCAACTTACATGGCAAGCAGGACACAAAGGGACAATGTGGGAATCCAGGAAGCCAGGAGAGTTCTCCTGATGGCCACAAACAAACAAACAGCCCTACTCCAACTCCCCCTTGCACTGGTGCCCAGCTCCCACATCCCACAGCACCTGGGGGCTCTCACAGGGACAGCCCAAGCTCCTGCTGCAGCTGGTGACCCTTTGTAGGTGTCTTCTTCTTCCTCCTCACCCCTGGCTTCACTTGCTTTTGCACACCTGTGGATCTCAAGCAGTGTTATCTGCACTACCTGGCCACCCACTTTTCTGCATTTTCCATAACTTGTGAAAAACTCCAGTTGTGGCAATCAGTAACAGGTAATTGCAGCAACCATGCTGCCAGTTGTGTCACACATTTCTTACCCCTGCCCTTGTTTTGCTCTGACACAGCCTTTACGTCCATTAGTGATGTGTTTGTTGAATCAATGTGTCTATCCCTGCACATTCACAAAAATCATTATGCTAACAAGACAGAAGGAATCCTGTGTCTTTGGGAGTGCAGAGCCATCAGTACAACTCCTGGGTAGAAGGGAGGCACACATTAGGCACACATGATTACAAAGAAGTTTCTGGCTGTGTGAGAGGAAGTGTTCTGTCCATCTGTGGATTTTAAACCCCAAATATAATGACTGGTACACACTGTCAAACAGCTGGGAAAGGAATAACACCATGGCCACAGTGAATAGGCCACAGTTTAGCAGCAGATCCTTACCTTATGTCCCAAGCCTCATTTTATGTCATAGCTTTAGTATTCATGGTCACTTGGTTCCGATTCCCAGCTGCACCAATAGTTGAAGAAATTCTCATTAGTTGAAGAAATTTACTGATACTATTCAGCAAGAATTACAGAACTGCTGCTGTTCTGTTTTTCACATTCTGTCAAGAAAAGCCTTAATCTTTTTTTTTTCTAAGTTTTTTATATATCCATAATTACTATAATTGCCTTTCCCAGGTGGTCAGCATGTTTGTTCTGTGCCAGTCCTGCTTCTCAGATCATCTTGTTGCTGAGTGTGAAATATACAAATTTTTGTTAAGATAGGATGTTCTTTGCAGTTTGATAATTTGTAACTTTCAAACCTGATCAACAAGGAGGGAGATTTAATCTGTGAAAGAGAGCAGCCAACAAGCTCTAAGTGATGTGCAGCTGTTAGAAACACAAATTCCTGGTCAGCAGAATTGTCTTTTTAATGTTTGGGGCTGGACATGCTCCAATGATCTCAGCCCCGCAGGAGGTTAACAGAGATCAGGAGAAGGATTTCCACTGATAGACGAGAAATGCAGAATTAAGCAGCCACAAGGACAAGGAACAAAGCAAGGCCACTCAGTAACTGTGTGGAATCAGCTCCGAGCGGGTAAAGGGGAATTTCGGCTAAGGTTTGTTCCAAGGAACAGCCATGGTGGAAGCCATGTTGTGGCAGTTTTCTGTTCCCCTTGGGATGCTTTTTGCAGCTGCAGTGTGCCTGGAGCTCCGGGCTTTGTGGTTTCAAAAGCCTAACCCTAGGCAGTAAAGAGTGCTTTAGGCTAAGACTGATTCCATGGAAAAAGCTGTGGTGGAAGCCGTGTTGTGGCAGTTTTGCAGGGGCAGGTCAGGATCTCCAACTCCTGGAGTGGCCCACAGGAGAACAGCGAGCCAAAGGCGGAGAAAGGGAGAGCGTGGCAGTTATCAGCAGAAGAAGTGAAACACTTATTAACCAATAAAAGGGAGAATACTAATTAATTGGGGAACTACGTACCTCGTAACCAATGCACATTAATGTCTTTGTTTGCTAAAAGCTGTGAAGAGTGGAAAGTTTGGCCCGTCGTGCCGCTCGCTTCGTGGATTTGCCACCCAGTGCCTTTCAGCGCAGCAGTGTGGCTGTATCGGTGCTGGGACTCCGGCAGGGAAGGGCCGGTCCGAGGCCGGCCCCGCGTCCCCCGGGCAGGGAAGGGCCGGTCCGGGGCCGGCCCCGCGTCCCCAGGGCAGGGAAGGGCCGGTCCGGGGCCTGCCCCGCGTCCCCCGGCCGGAGCTGCCGTGAGGGGAACGCCCGGCCCGCGGGCGCGCGCACGGCGGGTCGGGCGGGCACGCGCACGGCGGCGGGGCCATGGCGGGCGGGCCGCCCGTGCTGCTGGGGCTGCGCGACGCCGCCATAGCGGGGCCGGGCCCGGCCGGGCCGCTCCCGGCGTGGGCCACCAACAAGCTGGGCGGCACCGCGGTAGGGCCGGGGTGGGGCTGGGCTGGGCTGGGCCGGCGGGGCCCGGCCAGGGCGCGGGGGGCGCGGCCGCCCCGGCCGGGCCTGAGCGGAGGTGTCGGTGTTGCAGGACTGGGTACCGGCCGTGCGGGCGGGCCCGCCGCGGTGCGCGCGGTGCGGGCGCGCGCTGCTGCTGCTGGTGCAGGTGTACTGCCCGCTGGAGCGCGGCCCCGCGCACCGCGCGCTCCACGTGTTCGCCTGCGCCGCGCCGCGCTGCTGGGGAGCCGCCCGCAGGTGAGCGCCGGCCGCTTATCGGCGCTGTCCTTATTATTGCCGGTATTATTGCTGGTATTATTGCTGTTACTGTGGTTGTTGTTTCTGCCGCTGGTCAGTTGTCCCCCTCACCCTGTGTTTCTCTCTGCCCGGCACATGGAAGCTGGAAGGTGCTGCGCTCCCAGTATTCGCAGGTCCAGGATAAGCAAAGCCGAGCTCTCAGCGTCACACAGGTACTGCTCAGCCCTGCCTGCCCGGGGGGACGCTCTGCACACCCTGCATCGCCTTGTTTCAATAACCGGGACCTTCCTCCCGAAGCTGTGATGGTTTCCAGCCACGTCCTGGCTTGTGTGGGGAAGTCGTGGGCACGGAGTTTTTGTCACTGCACTACACTGTTTACTAGTTAGAGTGTTTAAGCTACTGTTTATGATCTATGCCAGGCTGGTTTTAAAGGGGACATTGCAGTCCAGCTGTATGGCCAAAAGTGATACTTTATACTCTAGTTAGTTCAGCTGTCTAAACTTTATTTTCCCACTTCAAGTGGATTGGGCTATACTGTTTAGGTTTGGATTTTTAACCTGTTTTCTTTGTATTCTCTTTTAAATTGACCTCTTTAAATTTAACATGAGGTTTTGAATTAATGTGACTCAATAATTATTAATATGCTTGGGAGGAAAAACTGCATATTGGCTAAAGCAGGTTGGAAGAGTAGGGTAGCACCAAACTAGTGGAGGTGGGCAGGGAGGGTTTATTCAGGTGGTGTATTTGCAATGTGGAATCTTGGCCTGTGGTAAATGGGCTTTTACTCTGGTAAAATGATGGTGGTGTTATTGTTATTTCCTTCTGTGTTCTGCCCTTTGGGTGCAGAATTCCTGTTGGGTGCAGGAGCTGCTTCAGCAGGAGCTGCCCCTCAGCTGGCAGGGGCTGTACCACAGCCAGGGCATGGCAGCAGGAGCACCAGGGCCACTCAGAGGCTGATGAATTCTTGCTCAGATTCTCAAGTGTGAGGTGGTTTTGCCATAACTGCTGGTGTGGGGCGTAAACGTGGTGTGTTGGGAAGTACCATGGTGAGGAGAGAAGGTGCAATAGCACTGAGCATTAGGTTAAGGTCTCAGTTCTCCATCTGTGAGAAGCTGAATTTGAAGTGCATCAGGGTGGCAGACCTTGGCAGTGTTTTCTTCCCCCTTTTTTTTTATTCTCAGAAACAAGAATCGACCTTTGCTGCAAAGGATTGGTGTGAGGATGCAGATGACTGGGGAGCCTGTGATGGAGCAGAGGCTCCTGCATGTGCCTCCCAGGAGCTGCTTGGCCTAAAGGAAGCTGTGAGCAGCGAGGTGGAGTGTGCATCCCAGCTCCAGCAGCTCCACCTGTCTGACCCTGCCCATGGCCCAGGTGCCCAGGACACACCTCCTGCAGCCAGTGAGGACATGGTGATGGCAATGGCTGCTTCAGCTCCTGTGTTCCAGCCCTTCTACATCAATGTTGTGGATGAGGAAGATTACATGGGTTTCCTTGATATGGATCATGCAGATAAGCTACTGAAGGAGTAT